AGGTTGGGGGTTATGAGGCTAGCAACCCAATCCCATGAAAATAAACACCACTGCTACTGAAACTTGATGCCTGTAGCTTGAAGCCACCTTATGTTCCACTGGGAACGTAAAGGAAAGAAAACAACACGACAGATGCACTTTCTCATCTGTATAATTTACATTTATTTGTTTAGCTGTTGATTAAATTTTTACTGATTTCTTTTTTTTAATGTTGCACTTATGTAAAATTTGTATTGATAACGTGTAAAAACGAATGCACTTTGATGAGTGTATTTGTTCTCTATCGTTATTATTTCTCAGTGCATTCAAAACACCCTAACAAGCCTTTATATATTTTTCTTACTCCTGAATATCATAATGTCTATTAAGTAAGATAACATTGCGTCGTTGGTGGTACAGCGGTTAGGACGCTCGCTGACTATGCACGTGGTCCGGAATTCGATCATCCCCCGGTCGACGCACACCTGATATCAATCAATGGTTGGTCTGATAAATTTGGACTACCGATATCGTATGCTGAAAATTCCATACTTGTATCAAAAATACAACCTTATATTTATTATCACCAATGATATTCCTAATTGTGGTGGACTGGATTATGCCTCAGACAGTTGGAAACGAGAAGACAGGGATATCCTGGACCAACGTGAAGAACCTAGAAGACGTGGACTTCGCGCGTGGATGATTTATGTTTGATGTCACACAAAATCGAAGACTTACAAGCGAAAACCGACAAACTGGTCGAGGAAGCAGCCAGAGAAGACAGGACTCCAGGTGAACATAGACAAGACGGAGGTTATGAAAATAACCAACCAACAACAACAACAACAGCATCAGCAACATCCAGTGCCAATCACCATCAAAGGGAGGGATTTGAAAGAGGTTACTTCATTCACTTATCTAGGGAGCATTGTCTCAACTACAGGCACGTGGAACGGACGAGGATGTCAAATCGAGAATCGGAAAGGCGAGAAACACGTTGATTAACCTGAAACCAATCTGGAAATCTTCCGCTGTCACTCAGCCTGCATCAACAATAAAATTTGGATTTTCAATACAAACGTCAAGTCAGTCAGTTCTTCTATACGGATGGATCAGAAACTTGGCCAGTGTGTCACAAAGAATATTTGCAACAGCCTGTTGCAGACCTTTATCAACAGCTGTCTTCGCTCTATACTGAAGATCAGATGGCCGCAGGAAAGAATCACAAACAAGGAACTATTGGAACAAACAAAACAAGAACCAATCGCCCAACAAATATGCAGGAGAAAAGTGGAGATGGATTGGACACTCGCTGAGGAGGCCTCTGGGTGACATCCCACGTCAGGCCAGTGCTCGAGTGGAACCCGAAAGGGAAGCGACGAGTGGGACGTCCAAGGGTGACATGGAGGAGACCGTTTGAAGAGGAGTTGAAACAGTATGGACTAACATGGATGCAGGTGAAAAGTACAGCAGAAGACAGAAGCAAGTGGAGACGTAAGCAGTTGAAGCCCTATGTTCCACTAGGAACCCAAAGGAACAATAATAATTAATAATGATCAAAAATACTGTTTGGAGTCAAGCTATAATAAAAAAGATATTCCACTCAACTTACGTCATGATGTCTAATCACTCACATCACTCAGTGAAAATATCTTTCGTTGGCTTAAAAACTACTTGATTTTCTGCCAATGAATAAAATGGGTCGTTTGTTCGTATCTCTCTCCGTCTACTTCAGCCTTGGTACCTAGTTAGCTAGCTTGGAACGTAGAGAATCATCAGCTGTCACATAATTTGAGTGACTCATAAGTCTTATTTAAACATCTTTGAACAATTGTACCTTGAACTCTCTATGGTCAGGCAACACTGCTGCTCTTTTTGTTTCAGGTAGTTTAAGAAGAAATTAATTCTCTTTGGATGTATGGTGCTTCGGTGACACAGCGATTAGGACGCTCGCCGACCATGCACATGGTACAGGGTTCGATCCGACGCACTCCTTTGCCTCGCTAAGCCATAAATAAAAAATGCTGGTAAAGAGGCAAGGTTGGGTGGCATGAGGTGGCTAGCAACCCCATCCTGTAAAAATAAACACTGCTACAGAAACTTCAAGCCTCTAGCTTGAAACCCTATGTTTCACTGGGAACGTGAAGGAATAAGAAAAAAGTATGTATTTGTGTGAGTGTGGAATGGTAGCTGAGATATGATCTTCCACCCACTTTCGTTAGCTTTCAAAGCTCTCTTGATGCCTTTCACATATTAGGAATGTATTATATGAATAATTCAGAGTTATATATATCTGACTGAATGATTTTGACTCAAGTCGTTGAATAGCCAATGAGTTTGGTCTTGTGATTTGTAGGTTTTTGCTCCAATCTCCGGTGGGGTCGTACTTCTAAAGAGTCCCAAATTGGGTCGAAACAGCTATCAAGTACTCCTTGGGGTTTTCAATGGTTGTTTCTCTAACTGACATCAATGTATAATCCAACTTGACTGATTTTTACTTAAATGATTCTTATAAATTGTTAATTGGTGATTGCTCGCAACCTAGACTGTCAGATATAGCAGTCGAAATTCAATCGATGTTTATTTCTGGAATCGCTTAGAACCTTTGTTGACTCATTAAAGCCATGGGTAGTGCCCCTGCTATCGTCAGTAAAATATTGATGAACAACTTAAAATAAGTCAAGAATAATGGTTGTCTGTCTGTCTGCCTGCTTTTGACGTAGAACTTGCACTGATGTGCAGCAGTTCGAGTCGCCACACTTTACTCAGCGCATAAAGCCAGAGAAGAAAGTAAAAAGGAACGCAAAATAGAGACTGTAAAGAGAGATATGAGGCAAAAAGAATAGTAATATCGAAGAGCAATATGGTTTTATTGGAAATTATGAGTCACAAGGAGTGGATGCATCTGCGCCAGCCATTGAGAACGAGGATTTTGAGCCATATCACCAATTGTTTCCAGCTTACATTGGTTTTTCACCGTCCCGAGGATCTCAACCAGGCAGTTAGGAAGTCTACACCTTCCTATGTGGCTGGCTGGCTTAAACTGACTGTTGTAGATTTCATTGACTGATAAGGCCATGTTTTGGTTTGACCACCATGCGCTAGGTCTTTTCCAGCCTAACCCTATGTCAGCTAACATTGCTCGTTGTCGAGGAAGGAGATGACTAAGCATACGTAACACATGTCCTAACAATCTCAGTCGATGTAGTTTCACAGTCTCATCGACTGATTTCCCCGCCTCACCTAGCACTCGATGCCTAACCTCAATATTGCTCACCTTATCATACCACTTCACGCGGGAGATAGAACGCAGACACCTATGATCAAAGACAGCTAATCTTTTCATGTCTGCTAATCTCAATGGCCAGGTCTCACTCACACGCATAAAGGAGGACGGAGCGGACTGTTGATCAGTACACACGCCCTTTGGTCGATAGTCGGATATCACGTCTACTCCAGAGACGGATTAAACTGGTATATGCGCAATTAGCCTTCTCTATCCGTGCTGACATTTTGTCAGCGATCAACCCATTGGCGTTGGCTGATGCAAGTTCCCAAATAAGTGAATTGGTCAACACGCTCCACCAACCAATTCACCCCCTATTTCGAAGCTAGGAGTCAATGTAGTCCACCTCTGTAGCATCATCTTACATGTGATGGTAGCGAACCCCTCAAGGTGTTCAAAAAACTCAGCATTTCATCAGCGTTTTCACCTAGGATTCAAGACTATTCCATCTGCATATTCTAAGTCAACGAGATTATTCCTTGGTTGTAACAAGTCAATCCCTTAGTCTCTGGAGTGAGTTAGGGTCAAGTCCATTAGTACATCTATGATTATTACTATTATTACCATTAGAACTTCAGGACAACTGTCGTGTAGCAACTTAAGAGCTGAATATTGATATTTCGAGTTTGTATAGATAATTCAGTGCAGATTTATGCCCCTAGAAGATTTCATTAAACAATCCAATATCATTTACTTACTTCTTTTTTATTTTAAACTTTCTTATTTTTAGCTGTGGTACGTAATTATGGTCAACTATTAGCTCAACTTGCTTCTGTTGTCCCTGATGGGATTGTGGCATTTTTTCCAAGTTATCATTATCTTGTAAGTTGTCCATATTATTTTTGTCTTTATGCTATTTTTGCTTGATGTTAGGTTAATACGTCATCTGATTGGCTGATACGCCTATGTTATTGACCTTGAGAGTAACCAATGAAATTTACGCGTTGTATTTGATTGGTAGACAGTGGTTCCCAGATTCAAATTCATTATTTTTTTCAGTTTAGGAAACTGAGTAGTATGTGTTGTTAGTCCTCACATAATATTTGTGACTCTTGAATATTGATTTTCGTTCTTATCGAAAACAGGTTGCTCAACCACTAATTGGACCGAAGTGTTCAACCCCTCTTGACATCTCCGTTCTCATTACAAACACTTTGACGATGTCTGGGGACTAACTTGAAGTGATCTAGTGGACGGTGACTAACAATGGGAATGTAGAATGCGCATTCTGTCCTGTTTGAAATTCGTTAGCTAGATATACCTGCATTCACCATCCATCGAATTATTTCAAGTTAATCCTCTAACATCGTTGAAGCGACCGCCCAATCAGAGGCTAGACATTTCAGTCGAAGTAATCACCGTGAAAATGAAAATTGAATGAAAAGCAAGTGATAACTGATGACCTTTGGACTAGAGGTGGCTTTTGCCGCCGAAGTGGTCTAGGGAATGACGCTTTTGTGTCTGAAACAATGAGTTGAGGGTTCGAGTCTGAATGGGAACACCATCACTCACTGAGGAATGCAGTCGCACCCAGGATTTCGCGGCGAATCACTGTACATCAGATTACTTCAAGAGTACAAAAGTAGCTTATCAAGGCGGGAAAAACCGTAGTTTCCTATTTCCTTTGATGGGTTTATTTTCACTGAGCTATATGGTCGCTTTTTTGTGTGTTTATACAATTTGTTAGTGAGCATGTATAATGTACAACGTGTTCTTGTTGTTACTATTTCAGGAATCTACATTCTCCAGTTGGTATGAACAAGTGAGTACATTATATTTCATGAATTTATAACATACATTTCGACCCTTTTAATAAACTCCTTATTTTTATAAATAGAATGTAAAGGGAGTGTATTGTTAAGAATGATATTAATGTCAATTAAAAAGAAAAATTATCCGGCAGTCTAATTATTATACAACGATTTCCTCTGAATAACAACTGAACTTAATTTCAGTCAGAGATCCATTGAAAACCAGGGTGTACTGTACGTACAGCTGTTTCGTTCTAGTTCGGAGCCCTGCGGTAATATGGACCCTGAGACCTTCATGTGAGTCGGTTGGTCAGTCGGCTACATGGTCTGGGGTTCGATCCCCGGCCACCGACGCACTCCTTTGCCTCGCTAAACTAGAAATAAAGCTAATAAAGAGGAAGGGTTGGGAATATTTATATATTTATATTTTGATTTACAGCTTGATTCCACACCGTATTTTCAGTACAAGTGTGGAATTTCAGCATGGATATCGAGCCAATTCAGGCGACCATAGATATCGGGTGCGCCGGCAGGGGAATGAGGCTAGCAACCCCATCCTGTAAAAACAAACACTGCTACAGAAACTTCAAGACTCCAACTTGAAGCCTCTATGTTCCACTGGGAACGTGAAGAAATAAAAAAATATATTTCCGATTGTACAGCTAAGAAAATGAATTCACCACCGAAAAAGAAACTCTTTGCTGAACTACGTGTTTTGTTTTCATTAGTGCCTGGATGGGGATTATCCATGAATATATATATATATATATATGAGTTGTAGTCAGTATGTACATAAAAACAAAGGAAAATGTGAAATTACATAACAAATTCAAGAGTTATAAAGAGTTAAAGAAAAACACTCTACATGCAAAATCAAGTTGGTGAGAAACAACAAGGTTGTTACCATGATGATGGTAAAAATGGTTGAGAGCCAAGCAGGCAGGCGCATACTGGAGTTCGACATGTATCCTGTCGAAAAAAATGGATTCAAGAACTCTATCTCGCATGGCTGTAGAAAGATAGTAATGAATCTATGCACAATTCATCATATATAATAGCGAAGATTTGTAGCTCAGATGGATGATTTTGATGTAGTTGTGTTCTCTGAGCTAGCTGGATGATTTATTTGCTAAGCTTTCATTGCCCTACTTACTAGGCAACATCAACCTGGAAGAAACAACCTCCTTTACCTACTTTGGAAGCATCGTTTCAACTACAGGTCAACGGAACTGACGAGGATATCAAAGCAGGAATCGGGAAAGCAAGACAAGCTTTCACTACTCTGAAGTCTGTGTGGAGGTCAACAGCACTCAGAATCAAAAATAAGATCCGGATTTTCAACTCGAATGTGAAGTCAGTCAGTGCTACTATACGGATCAGAGACTTGGCCAGCGCGTCATAAAGAGGATCTCAAACAAACTACAAACCTTCATTAACAGTTGTCTTCGCTCAATACTTTGCTCAAGATGAGATGGCCGGCCAGAAAAGATCAGCAACAGAGATCTCTGTCAATGAGCGAATCAACACAGCAGGAACCGATTGTGAAAGAAATAGGCAGGAAGAAATGGAGATGGATTGGCTGGCCATACTCTGAGGAAACAAAGCATCAAGTGACATCACTAGACAAGCCATTGCTCGAGTGGAAGCCGAAAGGGAAGCGGCGAGTTGGTCGTCAGTGCGAGGGTGGGTGACTTGGAGGAGGTGATGTGAAGAGGAGATGAAAACGTGTGGGCAGACTTGGAGCCAACTGAAGCCTTATGTTCCTCTAGGGATTAAAGGAAACAATAATAATAATAATAATAATAATAATAATAATATAATAATCTTCAGTGCATACTTCAATTCGTTGAAGTGAGAAATCTAAAAGCTCACTTCAACAAATTGAAGTATGCGCTGTAGATGTTGCCTAGGAAGTAGGGCAATGAAAGCTTCACAAATAAACCATCCAGCTAGCTCAGAGAACACAACTACACGAAAATTATTCATTCATGCGTAAATGCGGGGACGGGGTATGTGTGGAAATAAATGTATGCAGAGTAGAGTAAAGTCAATTCACTTGAATTGAAATGGATAAAAGAAATGATGTTTATTGATGTTTCTTTTTCTGTTTCCTTGTCTTTAGAATATTGTTGAACAAATTCAACGACATAAACTTCTCTTTGTTGAAACACAAGATGCTGAAGAGACAAGTATAGCTTTAGCTGCATATCATCGTGTAAGTATTGATTTTTTTTAATTTTTGTTTTTTCATCTCATCTCGCCTCAATGTTGTGTCAATTATGCCTTCTTCTGACTATTTGCTTAGCTAATTGAATGAATTACTAGAAGTAGACTATATTATCAGATTATTATTATTATGCCCTTGAGTTCCGAGTGGATGTTATATAGGGCTTCAACAACACATCTGCCGTCCTCTTCAGCTGGCTATCTCCACGACTGACCATAATCTCTTATCTCCTCCTTCTCCCCAACACACGATCTCCTCCATATCACCCTCCTACCGATGACCCACTCGTCGCTTCCCACTGGGATAACACTCGAGTGATGGCCTGCATTGAGCGCGACGCCATTCGACAGTCTCCCCAATGTATTCCCGATCCTTCCGCATTTTTTTGTTGAGCGATCGGCTCTTGGTTGGCTTTTTCCCAATTATAAATCCACTAAATTCAAGCATACATTACAAGAAAATCAATATCTAGAGAACTTCTTAAAAAAGTACATGTCGATAACTAGAGATAGGGTAATGATGGATACCGTGGATAGGAAACCTTTATATCTTAAGTTAAGTTACAAAGGGGAAATTGTAGCTGACATTCTAAAATGTCGACTTAGTAGAGTAGTACAGAGAACATTTTCTGCAGCTAAACTGGTACTCAGCTTGTCGACTAAACCAGTACTCACACACACACACACAACAAGTCAAGGGTAAACTAGCAAAGGTGGCCTCATCAACGTGTATCTGTGAGTTCAATTGTTCATGCGGAGCTAGTTACATTGGGCGTGTGCACACGGGAAGATGTGTCTGTATGGTTGAGTAAAGAGGTAACCAAATGCGTAAATAGTGCAGTCTTAGCCTACTTGGTATATACTGGAGACTCGATAAGACTTGAGCAGGCGTTCGCAGTTATTTATCGCGTTCCTGGTAATCTATCTAGAGGAGCTCGACTACATCTTGTATCAGTACCTGAAGTGGTAGCAATCAATACAAGAAATTCGGCTCCTTTGTATACAAAAAAAGTATGTCCAACCTCTATGTTTACCTTGGCCTAGAAGGCTAACAAATCCTACATAAAAATTAGCACATGAAATTCCTATCATAATTTTTCTTTTCCTTTGTTTTGTTGACAAACGTTCATTTCTAACCTTTTACGACTTCATGACCTTTCTTTTCTTATGATTTCTATTATCTTAGGTTTAAGTGATGTTTTTCGAACTTTATATTGTATTTACAAAATCCTGTTCATTTCACTTCACTAAATTCAGTATTATTATTATTATTATTATTATTATTATTACTCGATAATCGTTCACCAATAGTACTTTTAAGTTTACACGACATCATCGTTATTATTTTACAATCATTATTATTAGAATAAGACATATAAGCGAACAATATTGCTGTTTTCAATTAGGTCTTCTTCAGGCTTTACTCTAATTTACATACATTTATATATAAAACTTTTTAACCAATGACGGTGATTTTGTGGATCAAATATATGGTAAAAGTTTTGAACGTAGTTTATAACGATGATTATAATGATAACAAAATAATGATAATAAGGTTTATGCAGGTGGTGATAAGAATAACAAAGGTAGTAATATGTGTGTGTATATGTAGACAATTCAATAAATAAATAAATTAGGTCAAATCTTAAAAGTTGCGTAATACTAAAGTTAGGTGAAGTGGACAGATAATCAGAGTTTAAATAAATAGCATAAAAGTACGAAGGAAATGGAAAATAAGAAAGGATGGGAGGGTTTTGAATAGAATTCATCTAGGCCAGGCAAGGGAACGACAAAGGTAGAACAAACTTCTTTTGCTGTGTGCAAAGACTAGGATTGTTCTCTCGAATTAATTCCCATAGCTTCTTCGGCTATGTGTAAAAGACGGGTTCGAATTCCGTTCAAAAGGCTCGATGGAATGCGATAGATAACTTTAAAGGTGGCACTATTTATGTTCACTTGGTGACCACTATCAATCAAATGAGCCAAAATAGAACTTCTTATAGATTTTATTTGACCTTTTCCGAACCATGAAGGAAGATGCTCATTAATGCGTTTGTTAAGCTATCTAGTTGTTCGCCCTATATATCTCTCCACAGGAGCAACTAAATTTATAGAAACACATGGAAGTGGCACAGCTAGGTAGCTTGTCTTTCACTTTAGCAATCATAATTGTCGTTATTTTCACCCTTGAACTTACGTCTGGTTTATTTTCCGTAATATTCATACTGTCTCACACACCACTGATTACACTCACCTGAACTCGAAACCAGTACTTTTTTTGACTATGTATATATAGCATCCGCAGTATGCACCTACTTGGTTCGAACCCAGGACCTGCGGGTTACAAGGCAAGCTCGTATACCATTAAGCCACTGGGACCCGACTCAATGGTCAGTCCATAAATTCTAACTTCTACCAATTTGTGATTTATCGCGACCGCAACCATGATCAACTGGTGAAAACAAAACTGAAAGGTCAACGAGTTGGTCCCAAGGTTCGATCCCTTATGGGATAGTGAGTGAGAACTGTTGAAGAGTCCAGAGCTAGGACGAAACATGTATTTCATTTAGTTTTGCCTTAATCCCTAATGATTCTATAATCGACGTCAGATCGTGACAAAGTGTACACCGAAATCAGGTTCTAACTTATTTCTCTTATCACACAAAAGATCAATCGATTTGGAACATACAGACACACACTCACACTTTTAGTCATCTTAATGATAATAGTCATCTAAATGATAATAGTCATCTCAATTAGATTGACAAAAAACAGACAAGAATGTTTAACTGCGTAGAGATTTTATACAGTTCACATTTATACAATTACTGCACGCTGTACTCTGTGTACTGTATAAAAACGGTGCAAAGTTTCAGAGTGCTAATTTATGAATTAAATGGCGATTTGTACTTTATACAGTTCCAGGTGATATCCAACTATGTAAGATTAATTAGATAAAGCAATAAGAAGACGTAATTTTTCTGAATCATGTATGTAATGTGTATTTGCGCAACACATTTCTAACAAACTGATCACACAGGGACTAGTCATACGAATATATATATATATATATATATATATATATATAAACGAGTTGATCACGGATTGATATCAGTTAGAGAACCATTGAAAACTAGCAGTGGGGGAGTACTGGACAGTCAGATGTTTCATCCTAGTTTGGTAATCAGCTGTGGTGCGCACCCATTGGGGTTCGAACCCAAGACCTTCGAGTTACAAGGCCAGCTGGTATACCATTCAGTCACTAGGATCCGATTCAACGGCCCAGAAGGTCCTGGGTTCGAACCCCAGTGGGTTCGTACTGCCGATGATTTCTAAACTAGGATGAAACAGCTTGCTGTCCAGTACTCTACCAGTGCTGGTTTTCAATGGTTCTCTTTCTAACTGATATCAATCCATGATCAACTCGTTAAAACAAAACTAATCCTTACAAACCAACTATATATAAAAAATGACTATTGTTCCATCCCATTTATATTCTTGTTCCACAATACCTTTACTGGCTGGCTATTGTAAATTGTTTAAATTAATGGATTTATTACTGTGGAGTCTGAAGAAGAATTGATTGAAAACAGTTGTTCGCTCTAACTATCTTTGTTTTGAGTAAATTATGGGAATATTCTCAGAATCAAAAAGTCCCAGTTAAACAGTCTACGTTATTCTACATATCTGTCAAAGATAACATTTACTTGGGATTCAGTGTCAACGGAGCTGATGAACACGTGCGGAGAGAAATGACTGAATTAGACTTATGATTGTTGACAGATTATTTTTGAAAAAAAAATGTTTCAGGTCAACACAAAAATTTGTGATTACTAATGGAACTTTGACGAGCTCAACTTGTAAGCTGGAGTGTCTCATTTCAATTCCCAGTTCGATCACGAGCGCTTACTGATGAAGAGGCCCAAACTAAGACAAAACTCCCTGTTGATATCCATTGGTTCTCTAATCGATATCAAATCTTTACCAACTAACTTTTGGAAATTATTATTATTTGTTTAAACGCAGAAAAACTTGGTACAATATGGCACCAAGAAAGATGCGCCACACAATAATAATAAAACAACATAGATTAAAAGTGAAAATATAGGTAGAAAAAGGATAACGAACTTCATCAGGAAGGAAAACAGTCATGTTTAACAAGTTCAAACAGTGTTCGTTAACTATCATCAGGAAGGGAAGAAAGAAGGAAATTGCAGCACGTTCGCCATTGATTACGATTCTTGGCCATATCCGATAACGTTTCCAGCCATCGATTTGAGCTATCTCGCGGACCCCAACCAGGGAGTCGTGACGCGCCAACCGATGCTAATCTAGCACAAATATCCTTCATCCCACGACGCCACGTCATGGACTGACCACCCCTCCGCCTTTTCCATCCCGTCCCAGGGCTAGTGAACAGAGACCTGTACGGAAGCCTCTGGGATGACATTCGCAGCACATGTCCAAGCCACCGGAGTCGGTGTTTCCAGATGACGACACTCAATGAATGATGATCTCCACTGTGTTCAAACACACGCCGCCGAACCTCAGAATTACTCACGCGATGATGCCATCGAACGCAAGCAATCCTGCGGAGACAGCGATGATCGAACACGCAGAGTCGCCGCACATCCTCAGCTCGGAGAGGCCAGGTTTCACAGGCGTAGAGCAAGACAGCCCACACCGAAGCATTGTATACCCGACCTTTGACAGCCAGGCTAACGTCGCGACGGCGCCAGAGGTGGCACAAGTTGATGTATGCCACCCTAGCTTTCATTATACGGTTGGAAATCTCATCCGTCACCCCTCCGCCAGCACTCACACAACTACCTAGGTACAAAAACTTATCGACAACTTCAAGCGGTTCACCCGCAACAGTGAGTGCAGGTACAGGCTCCTGCCAATCTTGTAACAGTACTTTGCACTTAGACGGCGCAAAGCATATACCATACCTACAGACACTGATCGCCAACTGATTAAGTGCGATTT